AAGCCTATGATCTTATTCTAAGTGAATGGTATGAATACTATAAACCTTCCTGCCAGCTCCATTTTATAGCTGAGACGGCATCACAGAGAGGGTAGGGACCAATGTCGAAATAAAGATTTGAACTCAAGCTTTTTGATCATAAGACCAGTGCTCTCTCCATTATACCACACTTGCTTTCTTGTCAAAATGAAGTATTTAAAAAAGGGCCTTATTGAAGTCTGGAGCTATAGTTAGTGCTAAATAAATAGTCTGATTCTAAAATGGGTGTGGACACAATAGAAGATGATAGAAATCAATCAATGAAGCATTTATGCAGTACCTACTGTGTATCAGGCATTGGAGGTAGGTATTGGAGATAGGAAGACAAAATATGAAGCAATCCTTGCCCTCAAATGGCTCACTTTCTATCTGTGTTATGATGCTCCAGTTTGATCATGACAATTATTTCTGAAAACTTGACCCACTATGTTTGAAGCCCTCTGAGCCCTACACATAACAATAGCAACAACCAAGGATGAGGAATACTTTTTTGTTGTTTTTTATTTTTGAGCCTGGAAGTGCAGCGGCCAACTGTGGGCCTGTTCCACTGCTGATTGGCATTGAAAGATTTGATCGTTAGTCTCTCCCCACTCCAGTCCATTCTCTACTCGGCTATCAAAATGATCTTCCAAAAGCATAGGTCTGACCTTGACCCTTTGGACTTCTTTGGACCTCTCCATCATGCCTTCCTTTCCCAGGAAACTCATCACTGGGCAATCTCATTATCCTGCAAGATTGATCTGTCTGGTACTCACAACTCATTAGGACCCTCTGAAAGGAGGGCAGAGACATGGACTCTAGGGCCTCTATTTAAGGAGGGGGCCTAGCATAGTCTTCTTCCCATTCTGTTTTTAAACTTCTTTGGACCTCTCCATCCTGATCCCATGGCAAGTACCTTTCCTCCCCCTTTCAGCTTTATTTTTTTTGTGTGTGTGTTGTCTTCCCCTCATTAGAGTCTAAGCTCCCTGAGGGTAGGGACTATCTTTGTTTTTATTTGCATTTGTATCCCCAGCACTTAGCACAGTGCCTGGACATAGTGGATGCTTAATAAATGTTTATCCACTCACTGAATGACTGGCATTCAAAGCCCTTCATAACTTGTTCCTCCCGCCACCTTTCCTTTCTCATGTCATGCCATCCCCACCCTTACCACTTCATCCAGCATCACTGGCCTCCTTTCTGTTCTTTGATCAAGACATTCCATCTCCTGTTTTTAGTTATTTTCACTGGCTGTCCTCTTGCCCAGAATGTTCTCACTCCTCATTTTTCATTCAAGTCGCAGCTGAAATCTCACTGTCTATAGGAAGCCTTTCCTGATCCGTCTTAATTCTAGTGCCATAAATTTTTGCATGTTGGGCAATCCATGGTACTGCGAGCTCTTTGAGAACAGGGACTATCTTTTGGATTTCTTTATATCCCCAGCACTTTGCACACTTCCAGGTACATAGTAGGTGCTTAATACATGTTTATTAACTGACTTAGCTACTTTGTTTCCAATCCGGGACCTGTTTGCTCCTCCTTAGGCTGGCAGATTCCCTGCTCCAGGGGTTTACCAGAATTAGTGCAGACACTACATTGGCTTTAGTCCTATCTCAACTCAGAACTCAAGCAATCTACTATCCTTAGCCTTCTAAGAATGTTAAGGTGCAGGGATTGCAGACCTTTACTGTGCCCAGTGACAAACGATTTTTAAACAACTACTGTTTACGTGGTGCTGTCTAATGTGTGAAGTGCTAGGTAAGATGCAAAGCTTAGATGAGACATCATCTGTAATGATCTTATACTTTAATAATGGAATAAGACATGCAGATAACTGTCATACATAATATTGCATAATGAGAATGCTGGAGACTCATAAAAGAAAATACTGTGTGAGGTCTGAGCGGAAGGTTGTTTTTCATCATGACCTTCTTGATCAAGGAAAAGATTCATGGAGAAAGAAGAAGAGGATGAAGACTTTTAATGGATAAATAGGAATTCAACAGGTAGAGATGGGAAGGGAGGGCATTCTAGGCATTGCAAGCAAACTCATGGAGCTATGAGAGCCACTGCCTGTTCAGGGACAGAGAGCTGTCCTGTGTAGTTCTAATGCATTCCTTTTGTAATTTAACTAACTTTTTCTTTAAAGTTTATAGCTTTTCTTTGTAATCTCACCAGCTATCATGCATTCATTTATCTTCACTATGTTGATATTTCTCAAATCTACTTTATTTCTATCCTCTCTCTGACCTCTGGTCTTATCTTCGGTTGCTCTTTGGACACCTTTAACTGCACGTCCTGCAGACATCTCACATTGGCATGTTCACAGCTGAACTCATCATCTTTCCCCCCAGATCCTCCCCTTTGCCTAACTTCCCTATTATGGTAGAGGGTATTACCATTCTCCCAGTCATCTAGGTTCACAACCCAAGTGTCATCCATAACCCCTTGTTCTCTCCCCATAGCCAATCAATGATCAGGTCTAGTCATTTTTACCTAAATAATACCTCTTGTTTATGCCCTCTTCTCTCCTTTGACATTCCACCCACTACCTTGTTATGGGCCCACATCATCTTACACCTGAACTACTGTAATAGACTATTTCGATAGCCTACTGCTTTCCATCTCTCCCCCCTCTACTACATTCTCCACTCAGCTGTCAAATCCATCTGTTTTCCTAAAGCACAGGTCTGACCATGTCACATACTTCCCCTCCCCATTCAATAAACTCCAGTGGCTCCTTATCACCTGCAAGATCAAATACAAAACCTCCTGTTATCTAAAGCCCTTCATAACTTGTCCTTCTCCTACTTTTCCAGGCTTCTTACATCCTATTTCCCACCATACCCTCTTGTGACCCAATTACAGTGGCCACCATGCTGTTCTCTGAACAAGACACTCCATCTCTTGTCTCTGTGAGTTTTGACTGGTTATCCTCTATACCTGGAATCCCTCCTTCTTCATTTCCATCTCCTGCCTTCCTGAGCTTTCTTTAAGCCCCAGCTAACATCCCATGTATACAGGAAACCTTTCCTGACCCTCCTCAATTTTAGCACTTCCCTCTGTGATTACCTCTGAGCTACCTGGTCTATGTCTTTTTTGTATGTAGTTGTTTGCATATCTCTTCTATTAGCTTCTTTTACCTTTCTTTGCATGCCCAGCACTTAGCACAGTGTGTGGCATAAAGCAGGTGCTTAATAAATTCTTATTGACTATTAACAGCATGCTATACTGTGGGAGAGTTTTTTGGGCAGCCTGACGATCTCGTGAGCATTCTGAGCCCAGGGCTAGGGAGGAAGCCTAGCGTTAGACAGGAAGCACAGGTGTTAGAAGGCCTGGGTTCAGGTTCCACAGTTGCCTCTCATTTGCTGTGCGATGTTGGGCAAGTCAGTTTCCTCCTTTGCAAAATGAGGCGTTAGGCTAGATGATCTCTAATGTTCCTTCTAGCTCTAATTCTGGTTCTAGGAGTGTAGTTGCTGAGGAAGGGAGGAGGAAGATAGGAGAAAAGGAGTGGGAGTAGCCCCCAAATTAAAAAAGTTTGCCTAGAACCAGTCCTAGCTGCATTTTTATCTTCCCACCTCCTAGAAACCAAATGGGAAGAAACCTTTTCCAGAATAAATCAGCGGCCACACTCTTGCTAAGTCTTCCTATTCCCACCCTGCCAGGAGAAGGGGACTTCTGTGACCCTTGTGCTTTATTCACCTGTCCAAGGGAGCAGGCCCCATGAGACCCACTCAGAGTAATCTTGAGGAGGCTTCCCCTAGGTCAGAGGGGCCTGCGTCTTCTCTTGTGCACAATTTCAAGTTCTCAGTTCACAGTTTCATTGTCTGTCTATACCCCTGCACAGCCTATTAAGGAGATTTCTTCTTCTCTGTGTCTGAAAGGCCATATCTTTGGTCTTGTGGTCATGGCAGGGAAGAGCAAAGCAGACATTCCCAACCACACCTTTTTACCACACATTTGCTACAAAGAACAAGTCTTTAAAAAAGGGGAAGGAAATAAATGCAACTTTCAATAAATTAATTTTAATGTCTGAGAGGTGGTTGCACATATATATATATATATATATATATATATTTATATATTTCTGTATATCTGAGATGACAAAAATGTGATTCCATCAAAATCATAATTTATAGACAAAGTTTTCAACACAAGGTGATTTGAAAATATATTTCATAGAATTGATCAAGCAATATTACAGCATGTAATGGAAATGAAGCCCTATCCTTATGTAGGAATTACCTGCCAATCCTCCCAAAGGCATCTGGAAAAAGGCTCATTAAGGCACGTAATTATTCGTGATTAAGATCACACAAAGTTCCAATTTGATCATACCTTTGCAAATTAACATTCCATACAACCAGCTTAACAACTCACAACTCAGCTTCCATTTCAATACCAAGAAAATTCTTCCCCTTGTTCTTTTCACCATAGTAGATCGATATCACAGCATACTGAACATTGTTAACAAAATTAAACTGGGTACAAAGTATCCAGAACCAAGAACCAATGATTACTTATATTTATGAACTTTATCTTTGTACAATGAAGTAGGCTAAAGGTATGTATTAAATAAATAAGACATTTAAATTCTTCCCTAATAAAAATTACATAACACATTTTTTCCTAAGGAATATACATTCATAAGATTTTTTTTACATTCCGTTTTACAGTAATGATAAAAATGGTGAGAATGTGCTATTTATCAAATATATCTACAGTAATAAGATTCATAACACTGTGTAAATATACTAAAAACCTACTGAATTCATTCTTGAGAATGTGAAATGTAAAAAGAGAAATATCACACCTTCCATGAAATGAGGTCTCCTTGTTCAACAGAAAATATTCTTATTTGGAAATTCTATTCCCTACGCAGTTGTCGGGTAGCCCTGTATTTTACACAAGCACAGATAAAAAAATATCTGCCTGGCTACTAAAGGACAAACCACACACACAATAATAACAAAAACAAAAGGTTCAAGTAAATAGGTATTGAATGAATGAATGAAACAATAGACAAATGTGTTCTCAAGTCACGGCTGAGCTCGGCACACCAACATCCAGAAGCAGTAGTGTATGGTTGGGACTGGACAGCCAAAGAGATTGTTTTCCTGTCTTAACAGCTGATTGTGCTGAAAATGTTTGGGTAGACTGTGCTGCAGTCCAACTTGTTTGCACAGAGAGTTGAAAATATCTGATTGTCTGTGCTATGATGCATTTTTTTAAAAAGCGGTCGCTTTGTTTTTAGATCATCTGGACAAGGGCTATGTCAGCTTGAGCCTTCCAGCACATAGGTTGCAGCCAGGCAATTAAGTAGGCACTTTGGAAGACAGATTAACTCTTTCAGGTGATTAGGAGACTTTTCAGTGCACAGGAGTGATGATTCTTTAGATGACACCTGAACAGCCTGAAACAGTGCTGCTCTCAGAGTGCCCAGGATATTTATTGCCAGACTGGGAGACTGTATTTATCGACAACATAGAAACAGCCATTTTCTGGTCTAATTATGCAAAGAGCCAACCAGCTGGTCCATTGCTGCTCAACAAGTCTGATTAAGGAAATGGTTAACCTAACAGGATCGTTATGGTAGTCAAGAACACCAGACTTGCTTTCAATAGGGCATTTTAAGTTCCATATGTGTAGTTTGATTTTTGCACTGTTGCCATCATGCTGACTGAAAAGATGGCTGGGAAATATGAGAACCATTGAAAAGAATGAAAGATCACTAGAAGAGATTTCCCACTATAATTACCACTTTTCATTACGCATTGGGATATATGATAAGTCAACATGGGTCCCCTGAATCGAAACAACTCCATATATTAAAAGGAAAAAAACAAGACAGTTATATACCTATAAGCGGGTGTCAGTCCTGTCCTCCAGTGACAGAATTGTATAAGATATCTGCTGTATTAGCAAAGAGCCAACCTTCAGGGCAACTCCTTTTTTTAAATTTGGAATAAATGTGTGTAGGGGTAATCTGTGACTGGTGTACACTATGCTAAATATAAATTATTCAAAGCGTTTTCTTTGCTTTAACTGTTCTGAGAGCATATGCTGGTAAAAGATAATCACAAATCAGAAAACAATGGTGATCAGCAGTCAATTTCGTTTTCCTGATCAAAAGGTTTGAGAGTACTGGTTGCTTATATCATGTCTATAAAAACATTTTAAAATTATTATAGTCTACCTCTTGTTATCTCTCCCCAAAACAGAAGCTTGAACAACGCAGCTTGAATTCTGCTTGACTCAGATGTGAACCAAGGCGCCATTTATGACTTGGTGTTCAAAAGACGTTCAACAGCAGAGACGTGCTATACATTTCCTAAGTGTACAAGCTGGTCAATGTTCCTTTTCTCTTTGCTACGTGGAGAGCATGGGAGTTCTTTTGTCACACTGATCCCACTCTTCCTCTCTGGTCCCTGCTCTTCCTCCTTTCATCAGGGATACTTTGGGGCCACCCAATACAAAATGTTAACCCAGAGAAGGTTAATGTTTTCTTAAAGGTGAGCAACCCTCCCAGTCCCTTTCAGGAGTCATCCAGAGTTGAAGAATCATCACAGCTATTCTGAGATCCCTTTCTGCCTTTCCTGAAATCATGTCCTGAAGATGAGGTGGGGCTATTTTCACTTAAGTTGTCTTAACGACTCTCCTTGTTCATGGGTCATAGGGGTGTGGAGGGAGGAGAAAGGAGAGGTTCAGCCAAGGGTTTTAGTGCAAATTTCTGAATTGCTATAGAATGATTACCCTGCAGGTCTCCTGATATGGTCCAGCCTCCCTTTGGCAAAAAGTAGATAGACTTTACTATCTGGTTGTTTCCACTTTTCAAAAAGACATGGAAAAATGATTATGGCAGCTACACAGCAAAAATAACTCATCTAATCAGTCAAATCAGTATAAAAATCGGTCAATTTGTTGGAAGAGAAAAAAGTCATTCAGTCAAATTGGTTACTGAACATTATGTGTTAAAAGACTTGATTTTAAAAGTTTTAAAATAAGGTTTGTAACCAGCAGTATTAGCACCATGAGAACAGGAGAGAAATGGTATCCAGAACATACCTAGGGCCATTCTATAGTTGGGTACCATTGTGTTGGTAGGCATATATTGTTAGTCACAGTGGTCTTCTCTCCCTCCCACCCCTCCACTGGTCAGGACTATCCTTCCCATGGCTTGAGCTAACAAGCCATTTGACTTTATTCTGGTGGTGTCTTAAACCAGTGAGCTCAGGCAGGTGAACTGCTCCTTAAAAAGTGCTTCCCCAGACCCTGACGAAAGCCGAAATCCTTGAAGCAGTCAGGCCTTCCACCTTAGTCCTAATAGTAGTAGTCATAAGGGGTGTTCAGTGATCCCTTGCAGAAATATAACTAGGCTTTCTTTTTATTGTTGCATTCTAAATAGGAATACTTCATCAAGGGGAAGAGGGGACAGGTAGCTTAAAGCATTGGTAAGATAAAACTAGACCCCTTACTTGTGGTTTGGGGCAGTAGCAGGCAGACTTTCAGACAGTTATTATGCAATATCTGAAACTATCAAAGTTGTTTGGTCTAATCATTCACTTTTATGTGCTACCAGGAGGTGAGGAGACAGAAGGTTTTATTTCTACTTTATTGGTAGAAAACAAGATATGGAGGTCAAAGGACCTGCCTAAGTATGCACAGTGGCAAAACAGTGTTGAACTATGATTTCCTTGAGGCCTAGAGACTCTATCCTGTGCTTGAGCCAATGTTGAACTTGAGTTGACTAATATGGGAAACTTTGATGTCAAAAGATGAAGATACATAATTAAGTCAAAATGTGCTATGTTGAAGCAAATGAAATATACAACAGTTTGTTGGGGAGGGGGGAACATGCATCGTACCCAAGGAACCCCAGTGCACTCTGGAAAAGTCCTGTGAGCCCAGTCTCACCTACTCATCTGGTAGCTCATTCCAGGAGTGATGGGCGCACCTGAGAAGTCCAACATGGAAGATCAGGTGAGAAGATTGGTACCTCAGGGCCAATCCTTCTAAAAAGTTTAGCTGTTGGGCAAGAAAGCTTGACAATAATCACTCTTTTGGAAAACAAGGGGATTAACAACCATATGTTGTAATGGCTCCTTGCTTTGGGGTCTGAAAGAATTAATTTACTAGGGAGGATCTGGCTAAGGCCGCTCTTGCTCAGTTGAGAAGACATGATGGGGCATAAACTACAGTTATGATTCTCTATCCCCAAAGTAGCTAGACTTCAGATCTTGAAAAGCTATAAACATCTATACTAATATTCAACTTCTCTATCCACAGTACTTGAGAGTTTTTGCTTCCTGAGTCATCGAATTGTGGCACTTGAATAAAGCAACACAAAGGGATAGAGGAAATAAGACTAATTGAGTTGTGCAAAAAGATTAAGAAAATATACAGCAAATGGGAACATGTGTGGTCACAAAGTTGGTCAATAAATGATAATCACTCAGATTCAGCTAAGTGAGCTTTCTGATGAAAGGGACAGGAAAGATGTGAGAACTATTACTATTTAAATGAAAACAAAAATCAAATTTGTATCTGACTATTCATTGAATATTAGCTAAATTCCACAAATACCAACACCAAAGGTCCAACTCAACCTCTTTTTTTTCTGACTTGTTCATTACAGCAGAGGAATCAACTATGTGCAAAGACTGCAGAGGAGGAATCTGTTCATGGAAGAGTTTCCCAGGTGAGGCTAATTGCATCTCTCTCTGAGTCTGACTTTTGGATGGTCCAACCAGATGGATCAAGAATTAGCTGTGAGGACCATGACTGTTTCATCATCAAGTCATTCTCTATTGCTCAATCTCAGCATCACTGAGAGAAATCACTTATATAATGAGGAATCAAATTCCCCAAGTGAAGTGAGTTTTTCAAGGATTCAATGACACAAAACAGTCAGAAGTAGGAAAATGTCTGAAGAGTTTCCCTTGGAGGAAAAGGCACTGATCCATCTCGTCCAGAGGAGACCTGAGATCCCAAAGAAAAGCTAAGTAGTTGTTTGAAGACAGCAGCTTTATCTTTGTTTTGTACCTAAAGCTAAGGTGATACCTCTCCCTACCATATTCCTACTTTCCCCCCTGTGACGTTCCCCTCTCTGCACCCTTCTCCATTGGCTGGATTTTATTTATGAGCCCAGTGGGCAGGGATGCCCCATGGGCAGCACCCGACACAGTTCAACTACAGCAACCACAGCTGAAGATGGCAGTGATTTGGGAGTTCATGACTGTGCCCCCAATCTTGTGATGCTCCTCCGTTCTCCAGTCCCTGCAGAGGGCATATTATACAGGCTCCTGGGGAGTCAGGACTGAATCTGAGCCCCAGGCAAGTGATGCCGATGAAGTGTTGAACCTGAAGACTCCTGTGTTCCCTCTCATGCTAATGAGGAAAGGGAAAGACGCTAGCTAGAAGTGCCCCTGCAGGACAAACAGACATACCTGTGAACCTGAGAGTTTCATTTTTTCCCCTTTTTTCAATGGAGAGCTCTAATTTTCCCAGATTCAGTCCCTGCTCCCCCTCTCTTTTTCTATGTCCAATGACTGTTTTTTTCCTGCTCTCTCTTGGATCACAGCTGTGTCTCCTCTTGTTCCAGAGAATGTGGGAGGATGTGACAAGACTGAGGGAGGGAAGCAAGTTTCTGCAGCTTGGGGTAGCGTAGAGGTTTGGGCCTGTGGAATGACCTCCGGCTCTGAACGCGCCTCGCTGCTGCTGACCTCAAGTGTGCATGCATGTTCAGCAGGGTTCTCTTCTCCTGGAGGGCCTTGGGGGCAGGGCCCCCCAGCTCTTCTTTCAGCCCTGCAGGTGGATCTTGCTTGGGGTTCGCTGACTCCGCCTTGGTCTCAGGACCATAGCCAGGGTTCATAGGAAGGGGATTATTCTGACTAGAGTTGTTTGTAGGGCTGGTCTCAGGGGGCTTTCCATCATAAGGCTTTGTGTATTCTGAGGCAGGCGGCAGAGTACTGACTCCTCTATTGTTGAGGGAAGAATAGTTCTGTGTCCATGGCCTTTGGAGACAGGCTGGGAGGAGAAGCAGGGGCTTCTCAGGGGGACCCGAAGTGGGGTTGGCTTGGTCAGGTTTCCAGGAAGGCAGTTTTTCTCTCGGAGAAGAATATCCTGTCAATGGCACATCAGAGCCTGTCTCACCTAGGATAGCAAATGGAGACACAATAAATAAATAAATAAATAAAAGAAATATTAAAATTATAGCATGTTAGGGCTGGGAGGGCCCTCTGGTTCACCTAATTCAATATATTCTTTTTACATGAGGAGACAAGCCTAGAAAAGTGACAAATCACACAGCTAATTAGGGATAGAGCTGGCCTCAAACCCTGGTCCCCTGACTTCCAAGTTAGGATACTTTCTAGCCACAGTAATAGCGGACATTTATGTAGTGCTTTCTTATGGCATAGTAAGACTTTACATACCTTCTCTCCCTTGATCCTTACCACAGCCCTAATATCAGCTTATATATATATATATATATATATATATATATATATATATATATACAGGCACTATTATCCCAGTTTCACAGATGAAAAAACTGAGGTCTTGAGGGTAATGAGAGACCTGCCCAAGGTCAAAATCAAAGATGAAGTGTAGCCATGGATTTGGAGTCAGAGGATCTGGCTTTGAACATCAGTTCTGTTACTTGCTGTATGTAGTATGGGCTGGTCGTTTTACCTATGCAGGCCTTCTTCCTTCTTCATCTTTATAAGGGGAATATTTGGGGAACATGTAGATATATGCCTGTATTTGCAGAGCATACATTTTATTGGGAAAGATAAATACGTAAATAATTAGATATATCAGATATATCTATCTAGATATATATCCAGAGTTAATGGAAGGCAATCGGAAATGGGAATGCATTAGCATCTGGGGGTGGAGAGACTGGGAAAAAATTCTTATAGGTGTGGGATGTGAGGAGAAGGAAGTGTCAGAAACTAAAGGGTGGAGCTGAGAGGACAGCTAGGGCAAAAGAACGGGAACAGGGGATGGAGAGTTGTGTGGCAGGAATCACCAGGAGGCCAGGGTGGCTGCATTGTGGAGTTTGTGGAAGGCAGTGAGGTGTAAGAAGACTGGAAGAGGCCTCCTTGAAAAGTCAAAAAGAGAATTTTCTATTTTATCTCAAAGGTGACAGGAAGCCACTGGCAGCTCATGGAGCAGAGGGAGTGACATGGTCAAATTTCAGAAAAATTGCATTGGCAAATTGAGTAGAGGATGGATTGGAGAGGGGAAAAACTTTAAGACCAGTGAGAAGGCTCCTGAAGTAGTCCAGGTGAGAGGTGATGAAAGACTGAACAAGTGCTGTGGCTAAATGAGTGGAGAGAAGGGGGCGTGGAGGAGGAGAAAGACAAAGAGTCATGATGAGTGAGAAGGAGGAGTTGAAGGAGACACCAAGGTTCCAGGTCTGGGTGGATAATGGTGCTCTCAACAGTAATAGGGAAGTTCAGAAAGGGGGAAGTTTTAGGGAAAGATCGTGAATTCTGTTCCACACATGGTGAGTTTGAGGTATCTACGGGACATCTAGCTTGAGATTTTCAAAAGGCAGGTGGGGATACATGACCTGGGCTCAGAAGAGAGCAGGGATGGCTATACAGATCTGGGACCTCCACACATAGTGAGGATAACTGAGTCCATGGGTGCAGATGAGCTTGCCAAATGAGATAGTATAGAAGAGGAGATTAGGGGGCCCAGCACAGAGCCTTGGCAAGCACCCATGGAGAATGGGTTTGACATGGATGACCCTTCATCGTATACCCCTCCTCCACATGTGCTGCTTCCTTTTTTGAATGTAAGCTCCTTGAGGGCAGAACTGTCTCCCTTTTGTATTTGTGTTCACTGCACTTAGAACAGTGACTGGCATATAGTAAGGGCTTAATAAATTCTTTTCATTCATTCATTCATTTGTTCTGACTGAATATTCTTTTAATACCTCCTTCTTCCTTTAGAGTCCCTCTTTATATCAAGCAACTGTAGGTTCAGGGGGTCTCCTTTTCTTAGATTTATATTCAAAAGCTTTGTGGACACCAGTTGACCTCTTTGAAGTTGACTGAAGACACCCTATCAATTGAGTAAGCTTACAGCATTCATCTTGGCCTGTCTTCTACCTGTGCAAATTATTCTCATTAAGTTCTTCTTGAGGGTGGGGACTGCAACTTAGTCATCTTTGTATTCAGGGCCTGGCACGGTGCCTGGTATACAGTAGGTGCTGAGTCAATTCTGTGATTGCAGGGTGGCAGGGTGCCATCTGGCTGATGACTTGGGTGGATGCTCAATTGACTCTCGAGCTTCTGGAAACAGTACCATGTGCCCTTCCCCTTCTGTGGCTGACAATTTACTCTTATTGTGTAGGCTCCTGCCCAGGGGTAAAAACAACAATGTTTTGTCATCCAGATAGGGTTCTGACCAGTAAAGTCTTAGAGTAGAACCCTGACAAGTTGGGGATTGGGGTGTGGTGGGTGGGGTGCAAGAGGAAGGAAGGTCCTGGATGCAGCCAGCCCATCCTGTGGCTTTTGCCCTGAAGTTAAATTCTTCTTGATTCTACTTAGCCCTTAACTCTCTTCAAAGGTATGTGCTCAGAAAGCAAGGTGACCTCACCTAATCAGGTTGAAACTTGCAAGTATCACCCTGCAAAAGGGAGGTTTTACAGGGAGAGGAAGAAGCAATTCGGTGTTGCTTGGGAATGGGCTACCTGGCTGCCCGGTAGTCCCTGGGGCAGTGGGGAGGCCCTCCAGCTCAGGGAGAAGGCATGAGACAAAAGCCAGCCAGGGGCAGCAGCAGAATGCTTCTTGTGAGAGAGAGGCAGACCTCGGCAGACACCCCTGCCTGGTCACCACGGACAGAGAAGCTTGAGAGCGGTGGCTTCTCCCATTGTTTACCGACCCTTTCCAATTCCAAACTACTGCTAATGGATAAGGCACAGCTTTTTACACAGAAATCACCTAAGTAGGCCTGATAACAACAGAGGGTTGAAGGAGAGAAAAATGATCTTGTTTCTGTTTCAATTTCTTTCTAAACCAACATGAAATTTAATCAGAGTCAGAATTCTACCATGGCTCAATTTGGGGAAAGGTTTTATTTAATGTTTAAACTCAGCAAGAGCCTTTAAATCAAAGGTTCTCAACTTTTTTTTTTTTTGCATCATGGAGCCCTTCTGTACTCTGGTGAAACCTATGGACCTCATCTCAGAAAAATGCTTTTAGCTGTATAAAATAAAATACAGAAGCTTGCAGAGGAAAACAACTATATTAAAATCCAGTTTCCAAAATATGTTTTTTAAAAAGTCCACAGATTCCACATGAAGAACTCCTGTTTTAAATGAAGCTAAAGCACTTGCTATTTGTGTCATTAGAAACAATGAAAAATTCCTCTCCTTTCTCCAAATCTAAAACTATTTATTAAAATGCTATTCTTTGAAGTTGCCTCCTGAAAATATAAGGCTTTGCCATGTTCCTGGACCCACCTCAGTAGTCTTGGCAACAGAAGCCAAGACCAAGGTTTAAGGCAGGCAGAATTTGGGCTCCATGTCAGCATTGGTAAACAAAGCACAAATAGAAAATTGCAGGAGAACTCGAGAGTATTGATGTTTTCCTTTTGGTTTTTTAATTGTTTTCTATTTCTTACTTATTTACCTATCCATTCACTTATTTATTCATTTATTAATTTGCTTGTTTACTTTTTTATTGCCATGGGTTAGGAGAGAAGTAGGTTTGGCTACACTGGAAGTGAGAAACTTACGACTTCCAGGGCTTTCATTTCATCCTGCCTCAGTCCCATTCTTTTTTAACAGGACTAGTCCCTGCTGCTTCACAGACTGATACTTTTCTTGTATCATTTCTCAGGGACTGGGAAAAGAAAGAAAAACACAACAGGTAGCTATAAGTGTCCTTAGAATTTTAAAGCACTTTTTAATTTCTAAGCATGAAAAAAGAGAGAGGACCCAGTGTTGATTTCTTGTACAAGTTCTGGGGGTGCAACCTTGGGGTTGGGAAGGCCCGCGACACTCTGCTTTCTATCCACTCTTCTTAGGGCAACTGACCTCTAGGTTCATTAGTTCATGACTCTATGCTCAGCCTTTCCTAAATGGTGATGTTCTACTGGGATAGAAGCTGTGGTGGAGCTGCTACAACCCAAAACAAAGGGCAGGAAGACCCCAAATCCCTTCAAAGTGTCCGTCCAATAGAGGGGTAACTGCCCTGCTGGTGCAGTGCACCCCCCCAGCAGAGTTAATAAAGGTAGGGTCACTCTGGAACCGCTGATTCTCCCCATGGTATTGGTATCTCTGGTTCTTCCATCTTCAGCAAAGGAAGCAGAGCCTCCTACAGCAGGTCGAGGTCCCCAGCCATAGCTGAAGGAAGCCACACTTGCCTGCTTGGGAATTGTATTGGATTCCTGTGATTCCTAAGTTTAATACTCCACCAGGGAAATATAATCATACTGTGGTTTCTGATCTTGTTGGGTTTTATTGTTTTACTCCTTCAGTAAATTAGGCACTCTTACACCTGTGTTGAAATGAGATCTGCTGTTCTTTTCATGAACCTTTCCAATGCCCATAGTAGTTTATGTGTTAGGTGAAAGAAAAAGCAAGATCCTTCTTTCCCCTGGGACCATGACTCTCTCTCCTTTGCCAATTCCTCACCTTAGCTTATCCCCTTTGACTCTCAAATCTGAGGGCACAGCTATATCTTAAGGTCTGAAAAGCTTTCAATGAAAAGTCACTGACTATGGCAAAACATTAGCTTCATTTTAAATCATGTCTCAAGTAAGGTTTGCTATCAAAGAAACAAATTATAGGTAGAGTAAATAAAAGTAACTTAAATGAGGAAGCACATTTGTACATAGAAAAGCACTATGTGAAAGGCACAAGGAAAATCTTTAAATCAGACTGTGTCTACTGGGATTGACTATCAAAGGCAGAAAGAGCCTCCATCCACGAGGTGCCAGGTGTGGTTTCCTTGGGAATGAACACAACGTGCCTCCGTGACCAGCCAATGTGCGCATTTAGACCACAAGAGAAGGAAAGAACAAAGTGGGAAACAGAGACAGAGAGGCAGAGAGAAAATTCATCTGAGGAAGAAAGAGATGAAAGTTTTGTTAGGTAGCTACAGCAGGGGAGATGAGTTAAAAAGAAAAGAGGTTGCATTAAAAAAAAATTACATATGTGTAGATTCTGGAAGGAAAGACGGAGACCGCTCCTGTGGACTGTCAGCTAGCAAAAAGGAATCGACTGACTTAGTGCTGAGCCGGATTGGTGTGAGACGTCTGAAGTTGCTGGGAGAGTACGGAATCTGCACGCGTGCCCTTTGCGACGGCACCACTGTCTCCTCAGAAGATAGCCATGGTGGTACCTTTGTAAAGACACTCTGGTCCTCTTCCGTTGAAAAAACTGGGTTATCAATTCCTAGGAAAGAAGGGCAATGGGAGGTTATGTCAGTGGTAGAGACATTGCTCCTATGTCAGTCCCGAAGGAAGCACAGACCTTGGGAGCTGGTTATGGTCAAGTTTAGAATTGTGCCTTGTCACCAGTTCCTGGTTTATTTACCTCATGGCAGGAACTCCCTGAAAAGAAAAGAGCCACTTGCAATAGAGTGATGACATTACATGGACTGGATACATGACTCCTCAGCCCCAAATGCCATGGACTGAAATCACCCCATCTATAACTATCTTATACTTAGCTGTATCTCAACATAGCTCTTAAATGGACCTATTTAAAATTGAGGAATATCCAATACCTAATCTTATGATTCTCAGAATGATGATCTCAGGTAAAATAAAGCTATTTCGTGAGAATTTGTTCTCTTCTTGGTAAGCATAACAAACATTTTACGTATACACACCAAAATCAAAGCATTAAAACACACACTCATGCACATAGTAAAGAAACATCTATAAAAGTTTCCTTCTAATGACTTATTGTGGCATGGCAATGACATTAGCTTCTCCATGACTGGGCCAGTAGAGTGCAAGCTTTGGCAGATTTTATCAAGGTGCCAAGGCCTAAGATGGATTTTGTCATCAAAATACCAGACTAACTGACTGAGTTCAGAGATACTCATCACCAGATTGGCCTCAGGGTGATGAATTCTCTGGCCGTAACAACTCCTGAAGACTATCTACTATGCCATAGAAGGTTTGTGATTTGTGCTGGTGTATGGAGTATCCACTCCAATGGACAATCATTTCTTGGGTATCAAAATAGACACACATGTCTACACCTATCCACCTCCCCTCTGACTCTCTATCTTCCTCATCCCCATCCCTTCCTATACCCCTTGGTCTTACTATATCACTAATGTCTTTCTCACACTCCTAATTTGGTCGTTTCCTTATCATATGGCCAGCAACTTAAATGTCTTTGAGGCATGGACATATTTCAACATATAGCTCCTAAGCAATCTCATGATTTGTAAGACATTTTGAAATCCAGAGGATGTTCCCAGTCTCTGTACTGCAACCTCTTCCATGGGAGTTCCTTCCCCTGAGTGATTCCCTTCTCAGGGGCAGAAATACCTTTACTCTTCTTACCTGTCGTTGAATCTGTGGCTGTGTCTTGAGTAACACTAGCTAGAAATTCAGTTCCTCCACTCATTGGCTCAGCTTCATATTCATTAGTCTCTTCGGGGTCTGAAAATTCCAGTTCTAAGGGAAGAAAAAACTATGGACAAAATTCTGTATTCCAGAAACACAGGATTGAGCTCATCATCGTGGTCAATGATGGCCATTCAGGACAATGTTCAAAAATAAATACTACTTTTCATGAAAATGTTGTGCATAAGCTACAGGATTTTTCATCTTGGGTCCTCGTCCTAGAGATCAATAACAGTTACACACTCATGTCCCAGAAACAGTCTTAAAACAGGGAGACTGACATGCCTTACAAGATGGTTTCATGGGTTGTGGTAGCCATAAAAACCACTCATCACCTGGTGGCCAACCTTTTGATGATGAGACTTTCTGAGCTAAGGCTGGTTCCTGGATGACAGACAGAATCTGTTGCCAGTCCTACTGTTCTGCTGGGGATGGCCTTTAAGGATCCAGGTCCCCTCTGAGTCCTGAGGAGCCATCAGGGGAGAACCCCAGTGGAGGACTCGTAGTAAAGCACTAGAACATTGCTTCTCCTTGTTCTAACAGGTTCTAGTCCTTACAAGCCTGTGAATGTCCCAGCCAAGGGGTGACTGTGGTTGAGGTGCAGGGCTGGATTTGGAAAGACTTGCGCATGACTCCTGGAACCACTCCACCACATCCCGTTACTGACTGGCCTCTCAACAGCTCCTATCTCGTATACTCCTGAGAATTCAGGAGGAACATGGTCATAGTAGAACTGGGGAAAGAGCTGCCAGGGGGCTCTGATACCCTGCTGGGGAATGCACTACAGAGTTGATTTGCTTGCTGGGAGAGGAAGCCAGTTTTCCAGAGTCACTTGAAGAGCTTGAGGTGGGAGCTTCTCAAGCAGTATTCTCCTCCTGCCTTATCTCCTCCCTCCTTCCTACCTAGCAATATCTGCCAGTGGGTAGATCTGCCAAGAGCAGTCATAGATTTTTTCTGTAGAATAAGTCATTAATTAAATAATTACCTTTCTCCTTAAAAGAAAAATCATGAGTTGGGCTTTCCATTGGTATTTTTCCATTTGGTATGCTGCTGTTTCTCTGTAAAACAAAAATGGAGTGACAGTTCAGAGTTTATCAGAGACACATCTATTACTTCAGAAACCATCGTACCGAATGCACAGAACCTTGTTATAGTAATAGTTGATGTTTTCTTAGAACTTTAAGGTTTCCAAGCACTTTATAAACATTATACAACTGATCCTGACAACAACCCAAGGATGATGATAATAATGATAAAAACAACAACAACAATAATAAATAACATGTATGTGGCATTTTAAGGTTTTCATATATTATCTCATTTGATCAATCCTGTGAGGTAGACCCTATAAGTATTAGCATTGCCACTTTATAAATGATGAAATGGGAAGCTCAGAGAGGTTAAACATCTTGCTCATGGCCACACAGCTGGTAAGTACTGAGGGTAGGATTCAAACCCAGGTCTTTCATGCTCCATGTTCAGCATTCTTTCTACTGTACCAACCTGTGTCTCATTCCAGTGTTCTCTTCAGGGTCCATGACCAGTGACTGTCCACGTGAGGTGAAACTATCTTATTAATTAACTACGTTATTCTAAGTAACTAACTAACCTCAGTAACTAAATTCTTTTGAATGGGGTCCAAGATGGAACCATCTCCTACTGAATTCAGGAAACAGTATGAAAATTCTACCCCATGTAGTTTACCTTGAACGCTGTCCCAGACATAGTTACGTGCCTTACCCTCTTCTGGCCGCGCTCTCTCTTGTAGAGTTTGGCAGTCTTTTTGGTTTGATTTATTCCAAGTTTGGTAGATTTGAAAGACTCTAAGCGCTTCCTCATTGTTCTATGGAAAATTTCTTTTTCTTGTTTTTCATCTTCATTTGATGGTAACTCATGCCGGCTGTAGAGATGTTTGTACTATAGAAAGGAAAGGGAAACAAATGAAGCAATAAAGGAACAGGTAATTAAGCTGGGCCCAAGTCATGCATACACCTTAGAGGGCTTTGGATTACTTATGAACCCTAAGGTACTTCGTGGGTTTAACCAACTACTCTCCAATGACCAATACTAGGGCTTCCGTCCCTCATCACCTCTGACCTGCTTTCTGTTCAGAACCCTTCAATAAATCCACTCTGGTGCATGAGGACCTTGAGTTTTGCAATTTATTATTTCAGGAAAAAAATGCAAAACTGATGGGCCTAAGTTGGAATACTGCAGTTTACTGTCTCGTTGGCTTTTGCAGAAGCAAAAGAATGATGTAGCAAAACCCAGGGAGTTTCTTTAGAAATCACTCATTGACCCTCACAAGTCATTCACTCTTTCTGGACCTTCCCAATCCAACACAGCGGAAGGGCCTACAGATGCTAAGTCATGTGCTCATGAGTCTGTGGAGCTGCAGAAAGAAGGAAGCAGGGCTCAGATGGAGCAAAACCCTCTGCTTGCTCACGGGGTTGACCATGCTGGATAATGTTGACAGTCAGCTTGCTAGCTACCTCTCCCTACTGGTCCCCATCCCTTTCTACCCCAACTCCAGCCACTTTGGGGTGGGGCGTGAGAGGGGAAATGTAGGCCCTGAGTGTGTTCACAGCAGCCCTTATTTGCAGATATGTTGGGGTGGAAGGAAAGGTACCCTTTTATATCAGCTTGCTTCCTGCTTTGAGAGGAGTTATGCTGAATAGTGTTATTAATTTGTTCAAGTCTTTAGCCTATCAAAGAAGTCCAAAGTATCAGCACTAACAAAGACGCCGGCTATGGCATATACAGTGACCATTCACCTCTTGTCTGGGTTTGTAGAGGTATTGCTGCAGTGTATGGTGAGTGACAGTGTCCTCTGTGTCCCGAATACTTCTTCTCCTCTGCTGCAGAGCCTGCATGTCCAGGCAAACGGTGCTGACATTTTCTCTCCTAAAATAAGAAACAAACAAAGTATCATTTCTCAACAACAGGTTGAGTATGAACTGCGGCGATCACCAAAGAGCATGACTCTGCCAGGGCCTAAGGCCACAATTCTTTCATCCCGAGTCACATTCCTTCTTAATTCACAGGTAGAAAAGTGCTGCGGCTGACTCATGGTACCAAGTCAGGACCTGGGCCTAGTCTCCCCGTTTAGAAAAGGAAAGGGCTAGGGTTGGGAATGTCTCTGGTTGCTGCTAGCTCTAACACAATATGCTCCAGGAGCAGCAGAGCCAGAGTGATGACTTCAGACACTTTCCACTGTTACCTTTGATGCTTGTCCCCTAAATCCCCGTTTCATTTTATTATCATTTAGCAACGGGAAGACAAACAGAATTTGACTTCATTGGCCAATAAAACAATGTTTTATATAACAAGAAGGAGACTGGATTGATGTAGCTTTCCCCACTATTTCCCTTCTTCCCTTTCTGAGTGGATTCTTGCCAGACACACAACTGAGATTCAGTGTAAGGGATCCAACTGCACCTTCGCCCAGGACTAAATACATAATAGAGGCACTCACTGATTAACTGACTGTTATGATCGTCCCAGTTCTCTAGAGAACATTAGACACCAAGGGACAAGGATTCTTCCTTTCCTATCAGTTTCTTTTCTTCTTAGCTTCCAAGGCTAGGGAGAGTGGATGAGAGAAGACGGGCACGGATCACTCCTGACCTATCCACACATGTATACCCAGACATTCATCCATCTGGCATATTTTCTACTGAAGGAAAACCCAGTGAACAGAATACTTACAATAAGTAAGAGACTGAGGCTTCTACGGTAGATGGACGAGGTGTGTTGAAGTCCACATTGACGATGTTATCAGTACTTGGTGAACGGATGAATGCCAGAGAACCTCTTCGCTCTCCCTGTTATGGATTTGGAGAAATATTGCATGTTAGTCAAACTGAGCAGTGCACAATACTGGTTGTGGGGCTGGAAATTAGCCGTGACTCTTTGCTAATAAGGACCAATCATTTATAAGCTCACGGCCCTCTCCTCCTAGGCTACCCAATCATCCTCCTGGGAATGAAAGGTCAATCTAATCAAAGTTCTGAATGATAGGTATGGCATATCTGCAAGCCCAGAGAAGAAGGGAATGCTCCTGCCACACTATTTGCAGCTCCCATGATGGAGTCAGTATGGAGACAGCTTGAGTTGTGGAAAGGGCCCTGGCCTATGGGTTAGGGGTCTGGTGTGTGAGGCCCAGGTCCAATGCTTCCTCATCTGTGGTGTGGCTAGGCACAAGCTACCCTGTCCTAACTGCTTCTTTTAAAACAAGGATAAGGATGCCTATACAACTCGCCTCATGGAATCGTTGTGAGGAAAGAACTTCATCAGCATTAAAGTGTCTTGTTAGTATTACTGTTATTGAATCAAAGTGGGAATAACTGGTAGAAGATGCAGTGAGACAGATTCCAGCTTGGTTTGAGGAAAAGCTCCCTAACAATGAGAATGATCCAAAAGTGGGGTGTGGCTGCCCCCCACCAAAGACCTCCAAGAAGAGGCTGGATAAGCACTTGTTGGAGATGTAGATGGGATTCTTGGTCAGGGGTGAGCAAGCTCACCCCTGTGACTGCCCTTTCATCTGGGGCAGATGACATTTCTGAGAACTTTAGGTGGGTCAGAAACAGACAACAGCACATTGTCCTCTACCATCTTGGCAGTATTCGCTGCATGCTCAAGGGAAGGGAAAGAAATACTAAAGCACTGAAAATGAGAGAGGAAGAGAGAGAGAGAGAGGGAAAAGGAGAGAGAGAGAGAGAGAAGGAAGAGGAGAGAAGAGAAAGATGGAAGGAGAGAGGAGGAGGAAGAGGGGAGAGAGAGATGGGAAGGGAGAGAGAGAAGGACTGAGGGGAAGAGAGGGCTAAAGGAGAGAGAGAGGGAGGGGAGAGAGGAGTGAAATAAAGGAAGAGAGGAAGAGAGAAGGGGAAAAGAGGAAGAGAGGAGAGAGAGAGAGAGGAGAGAGAGAGAGAGAGAGAGAAGAGAGAGAAGAGAGAGAGAGAGAGAGAGAGAGAGAGAGAGAGAGAGAGAGAAACAAAGTAATACAGAAGCTGTAATATATTTCAGGTTTTTAAGATTCTTGAACAGGCTGCTTGAACTAACCAGTTAGACAGTTAATAATTATCTAGTGAAAGAAAGAAACTGGGGGGGAAAAGTCCATGTGGGAGAGAGCAGCTCATTTTAAGCTCTTGAAAAAATAGTATTGGATGTATTGTATTGTCTTTGGTATTAAATTTACATTTAAATTATATATTAAATGTCACCTCTCATTTACAACCAGAAAACTATCCTGCTATCAAATTATATGAGCAAATCTTGGCTGCTACAAAGTTTCTCCTCAGTATTTAATTAGCTATGCATAAGACCACCAAGAGGAGAGTGAGGTTAGAGTTTGGGTAGGCTGAATTGGGGTAGAAGAAGGAGAAAGGGAATGCTGTGTGCTCGTGTGCCCAAGCTCCAATATTTTTATTCTCATGGATTCAGGTTAAAATGAGCGTTAAGGACTGTGTTGAAGGGGAAAAAAAGTCACAAAAAGGTGATGTGGAAGGAGATGTGGAAAAGTTTTGTGCAGTCCTAACAGGAGGAGCCTTGGGTGTTTTTCAGTACTGTCTACCAGTTACCTTCCTCTCTCCTCCCCGAGCTATTGGCTGCTTGTAGAGCTGTGGGGTCCAGAACAACCCACACTTCCAAAGGCTTGACTGCTTGCTCAGAAACACAAATCCCGCAGATTGGTTCATGAGTCTCTTTAAGTTTCCAGCAGGTGTACACTCGCGCTGCTTTCTTAAAAGACATTCGAATTGGGGCCTACAGTCAAGTCACAAGAGTACGGGTCATTCTAGAGCCAGCGGGTATCTTTGGGATCATCTTGTCCACCTCTCCCATTTTTGAAAAGGAAACCGAGGCACAGAAACTTTGAGTGAGTTGCCCAATGTGACACATGTGGTGAGTGGTCATTAAGATCTGGACCGGTCCTCTGACTCCAAATCCGGCCTTTCCAGCCACCTCCCACTGTGAGTGAAGGGCACTGAGGACCAAGGCTCTATGCTGTGAGGCATGCCTTTCACTGGGAGATAACCGCAGTCATTGTACAGGAACAGCACCCGCTTTGATTCTTGATAATTGTGACCTTTGATAGTGCAAAGTGTTCATGTGGGCTCTCATAATCTGAGAGCTACGTGAGCCCTTGAGGAAGAACAGGGATTTCACAGCACCTACTGCCGTGTGGTAGGATTTACTGTCCTCTGCTGAGGCTAATCTGAGAGCATCACAAGTTTCACAAAGGGACATACGGTGACCGGAATTTATGATCTTTCTCATGATGTTTATTTAGCACCTTTTAACAGGTGGATAAAGATTGTGATAAGTAGTGGACACCAAAGATGTCAAAAGTTGAATGCCTTGCATTCCACTTGAAATATCTCTGATAATATTCCCTCACTTCTTTAGGGTTAATTAGAGTTTTTGAACCACTTCTAAGTACGTTACATTATCCGAGCCTCACAACCACCCTGTGAAATGTATGTGCAACAGCTCCTTATACTTATATAACACTTTACAAAGTGCTTTTCTTTCAGCAACTATTTTTTCTTCAGAAATTATTTTAATTTGTAGATTGTTTTCTCATCTATAAAATGTAGACAACAACATCATCCACCTCCGTGGTTGTCATGAGGATCCAATAAGATGATATTTGAAAAGCTTAGCACAGTACTTGGCACATAGTAAGGGCTATATAAATGTTGGCTATTATTGTTGTTATTATTATTATTTTAATATGTGCTGTTTATGGGGTCATCATTTACAGCTTCCTACTGCCTGGCTTCTATTTGTCCTGCTTTGTCTTTGGGAGGGGTTCTTCTTCTACTTAATCTTTAAAAAATTTAAAAAAATAATATTTTATTTTCTCCCCAATTACATGTAAAAACAATTTTTAATATTCTTTTTTTGATGTTTTGATTTCTAAATTCTATCCTTCCCTCCTTTTCTTTAATCTAGGAAAGAGCCATACATGTGGTTCTTTACCACCTGTAACTACCTTCATTCGAGGGTATAAAGTAATTCCAGTAAATAAGAACTTACTTGCTACTCCACACAGCAAGGAAAAAAGGAGATCTATTTTAAAAAGAATCAGAGATTGAGTTGTTGCTGTTTCCTCTACACTGAATATGTGGAATTTTACTAGTGGCATTTGGCCAGACTTGGAAAGTGGTGCTCTAGACAATGACAGTCGTTCCCCCAGGCCTCGGAGACTTCAATGCCGTGAGAAAGTTTTACTGCTGTTGCTCCATATAGGTATAAGTAGTTTGTCTTTTCTCATCCAACATGTGGTAGACTGATAGTCTGGTATTGTTGGTAAGAGTGGAAGTTGTAAAGTTCCTGTAAAATTTGCCTTTCCTATCTGTCCCTTGCCTGCATTAACTTCAGAAATAACTGCCATCATTTGCTGTAAGGGACCATTTGTTGATACCCAACGCTTTCAAATCGTCACAAATGAGTATAAGCAATGATTCCATCACTACCTCTTGTTCTTCAAAAATGAGTTGATATGTTTTCTGTTAGAGGGCGAGTATTATTAACCTAAGGAATACTTTAGAAACTGAGGTTCAGAAAGTTCAAGGTCAAACAGTTACTAAATACTCCCCATGTTGCTCAGCTGGATATTGATAAACAAAAAAGGCAAATTTGATATGAATTCAGTGAAATCAGTCATTTAGACCCCATTTTAGGTTTCTCCATTAGAAAAGAGAGGCAGGTTCAGTTAGATGCCATTTAAGGTTTTTCTTTTCAACTCTAAATCCTTCCACTATAACTTTCTATGAAGAAAAGACTGGGAAATCAATGAGTGATGTAAGTAAGACTGCAGATACAATGTCTACTTGCTTAGGAAACTATTTATAAGCACTTTAGAAGAATACCAATGGATGTGCCAATGACAAAGCGGGATCACTATCAGCTTGACACTTTATCAGGGACAGGGACAAGACTTATGTCATTGGTACAGGGAACTCCTTGGTGAGAACACTCCTTTCACCAATGCAGATAGACATGTTCTTGGCGACTTACGGTTTTCAAAGCTGCCTGGAGCAATGAGGGGTTAAAGGCACTTGTCCAGGATCACACAGTCAGTTCAGTCAGAAGCAGGATGATTTGCATTTAGGTCATCCTGGCTTTGAGGAAGGCTAGCCATTCACTATTGCATGTTACCTCTATTAGATTGAACAAATTTATAGGAAATATGAATTTTAGAATATTTGAAAAATTGCATGTTTTTTTTCCAGATTATATAGTAACTTGGTTTAAACTGGCCTTCAATAAATTAGCCTAAAGTTTCAGTGAGTATTTACCATATTTGTACATGTGGACTATATATCAGAGATGTACATAGTCACTTGTTGACGTATGAGACTTTGGGCCTGGCACACAGGATGTTATTTAAACCAACACAAATGCTCCCATAAATTGTTTCTTGTTACTAGGTCATATGGTTATTGAACTTCCAAGTAAGTAGATCATCTCTGCCCTAAGAGTCACTATTTACTGTCCACTCCCATTTCCGCTATGGTAGTCACTCTACATTCTCATTGCCTTATACTTGGACTACTATGGTGGGCTTCTGAAGAGGTCTCTCTGTCTCTCTCCACCTCCTGTCTCTCCTCTTCCAGTTCAGCCCACACATGGCTGTCAGAATTATCTTTCTAAAACATGCTTTCATTATACAGTGCTGAAAAATCTTTTATTGGATCAAGTCCAAATTCCACATCTTTCATGCAAAGCCATCCAATTTACCTATCGAAGCTTAGTTTCACACAATCACACAATCACAGAATCTCAGAGTTGGAAGGGACATCAGAAGCTACCTAGTTCA